TAACATTTAAAAGGCATCTGGATGGGTATATGAATAAGAAGGGCTTAGCGAGATATGGGCCAAATGCTGGCAAATAGAATTAAAACAGATTGGGATGTCTGGTCGACATGTACAAATTGGAACGAAGGGTCTGTTTCCATGCTGTATGATTCTGTGACCCGTCTATAACAGTGGCTATGGGTTTAGAAGCTACCCCACAAACCCACGGCCTCCACCATTAAGAAGGACAAAGACAGCAGGTATATGGGGAACACCATCAACTCCAACCCTCCCAATGTGAATATTTTTTGCCATTCTGTCCATTGCCGCTATGTCAAACTTCTGGAACTGTCAACATAACATACTGGTGAAAGCAGTAACTTTACATAGGCTGCAAGGATGCAAAAGAAATTTCATTTCCATCTCCTCAAGAGTAATCACTGAGGATCAAAAAAAGTTGACCTTGCCAAAGACATCAAATTCCAAAAATTAACTTTTTGAAAAACTTTGCAAATAATGCAATATCTTAAATCATGCTTTCCTGCACATATCTACACACAATGCTCCTATGTGAACTATCAACATATAAACTAGTGCACGAATAATAAAGGATCATATTAGGAGAGATAAGATTGAGACTTTTTGCTGATGACAACTGTTTGTTTAAAAATTACATAGCCATTAACTTTCTGTTTTTTCTGTAAGTGAGAATAATGAAATAGTTGCTCCATGTGGCTATCACAATTGCTTAAATCCTAAAGAACTCTTAAAAAAACTCAATAGCCCATTTGCTAAATCTGCCCCTCTTGGTATGGTCATCTTTGTAAAATCACTCCTGCTCCTCTCCTTTATCTAAACACTGCACATTTATGTTGAAAATTATTCAATGTTTGTAAAAATAGGCAGGACATGAAGGACTGAATACTCAGCCATACATTGATCTAACCACATTAATAGTTCAAAGGATCTCCACCCTTTGCTAATCACAAAGAAATAAATTCTTTCTTTTTTCAAACAATTCTCTGCATTTCTTCTCAAATGCAACTCTTTGTCAAAAATATTCCCCTCAAAGGAAATAACCTTCAATTCCTATTCTACTAGATAATAAAGAGCTTTAAAAAGATAGTGTTTCTTTTGATGATCTGGATGCTGGCAAAGTGTCAAAACTCTTAACCCTTTGTCTTACAAGAACAAGTTTTCCTTGTGTTTTATCCCTCAATATTGCATAAATTTGTGTAGGATAAAGGAATTGTCTGATTTTGTTCCCAAATTACTTTAAAATCTCAAGTGAGAATTTTCAACACTGATTAGTATATATTTTTTACCTTTAGAATTTAACAGGACAATCATACTCCAGCAAGCAAACTGGGAGCAAATCAATTTCCAAAGTTTGAAAGATAGGTAACAGTTGACATTAAATATGTGTGGGAACACCACCAGATGTGAGTTTACCTCCAAGTCACACACACTATTCAACTTGGAACTACATCCCTGTTACTTTCCCTTTGTTGGCTGAATCTCATGGAATCCCCTCTCTAACAGGCTCCTGCACCACACAGTTTGTAGAAGTTCAAGACGTTAGGTTGGTACTGGCTTTCAAGTGCCATGAATGAAGAGCAATAAATGCTGACTTTACAAGCGATGCTCACTTCCCATCGCAATATAAAATAAAATGGTTTCTCACTATTTCTGAACTCTTCTCCAGCCCTACAACTGTCTGAGATCTTTGCTCTTCTCCACCTCTGGGTTCTTGCATGTGCTCAACTTTCATTGCTCTACTAGTGGTCACTGATTTCCAGCTGCCTAGTGCATTACCTCCAGAATTCTTTTCCTAAACCTCTCTGCCTCTCTTTCTTTCTCTTCCTTAACCAAGTTTAAAACCTACTTTTGACCAGGATTTTGGTCATCTACCATAATGTCTATCTTCTTATAGGACACTGTGTTGTATTCCATTTGATGACACTTCTTTGACACACCTTGGGACATTTTACATTGTTAAAAGTGTTACATAAATGCAAGTAGTCTGCTAATTGCACAATTATGTAATAAGGCAACAGTACAGGGATCCAGTGGTTATCTTGCAGAAATAATAATCTAGAGGTGTGACTTAATAGTCCCATTGGAACCTGAGTGACAAGAAACAGAAAATAGTGGTTAATGGACGTCATTTGTTCTGCTGAAAGATTTGCACTTGAACTCCCCTGGAATCTGTGTTGGAAGCTTTGATATTCTTGTTATTGAGCTATACCTTGGTGCTCAGGGCACAATTTCAAATTCTGCAGATGGTATTCATTGTTGAAGGAACACAGTACAGAAGTAGGGAAGTGTTACTGCAATGGTACAAGGTATTAGTGAGTCCATACCTGGAGTACTGTATACAGTTTTGGTCCCTTTACTTGAGGATAGATGTAGTTGTATTGGAGGCAGTTCAGAGGAGGTTCACTAGATTAATTCCAGAGATGACAGGCTTATCTTATGAAGGAACATCAAACAGTTTGGGGTTTATCTTAAGAAGGAAGATCAAACAGTTTAGGCTTATATTCTCTGGAATTTAGAAGAACAAGAGGAGATCTCATTGAAGTATATAAGATGCTAAAGGGGATTGACTGAGTAGACATATAAGGGATATTTCCTCAGGTGGGCCAATCCAGAACAAATGGTCATAGTTTTAGAATAAGGGGTGGCAGATTTGGAACAGAGCTGAGGAGAAATGACTTCTCACAGAGGGTCATAATTCTGTGGAATTCACTACCCCAGAGTGCGATGGATGCTGGGACGGAGTAATTTAAGGAGGACGTAGACAGATTTTTAATTTGTAATGGTTTGAAGGGTTGTGGAGAGTGGGCAAGGAAATGAACGGTGAGATGAGATCAGCCATGATCGTATTAAATGACGGAGCAGGCTCAAGGAACTAAATTGCCTACTCCTGCTCTTAGTTCTTATGTTCTTGTGATTCAAACCTCAGAAGCTAAGAGGAGGACAACCATGAGGAGGACAGTACAGAACTTCAAAAAGGAACTGGCCAAGTTAATGGGGTAGGCAGGCAGGTGGCAAATGAAATTCAGTGCACATAAATACGAGGTGATACATTTTGGTGAAAAGAACATGGAAGGACAGCATAACATGTAGGGGTGTAACTGTAAATGGGTGCAATTGTTGGAAAGTGAGGTCCCTTTAAAATTGAACTTTTCCAGTATATCCTGTAGAGAGGAGACCTCATGTAATGGTTGCTGTAGCAGTTACTTCCCTTCCCCAAACATAATCAATTTCTTAAACAAGGACGAAAGTCAAGTTGATAAGGGTTCCAGAGAATACTGCAGGTTACCATTGACCACTGACTAAATTGTACCAGTGATATAAGTATGGCGACAAAAGCAGCATAGAGATTAGGAATTCTGTCATGAGTAACTCAATTTCTGTCTCTCCAGTCCATTTCCAACATCTACAAAGGACAAGTGAACAGTGTTATGCAATACTCCCTATTAACCTGGATGAATGCAGCCCAACAACACTGCAGACATTTGACACTATCCAGAACAAAGCAGTCTTGATTGGCACCACGTCCACCACCTTTAACATTCAATCTTTTCACCACTGATACACAATGGCAGCAGTGTGTACCATTTATAAGGTGCACTGCAGTAATGCACCAAGGCTCTTCCAACAACTAAATCAAATCAGTAACCTCTATCTCATAGAATATCAAGGGCAGTGGATACATGGGAACACCACCATTTGCCAGTTCCTCTCAAAATAACTCACCATCCTGACCTGGAAAAATATTGCTGACTGGGTCAAAATCCTGGAGCACCGTCCCCAGCAGCACAGGTTCCCCACACCCCAAGGACATCAGCGGTACAAGAAGGCAGCTCACCACCAGCTTCTTCAGAGCAATGGGAGGGCAACAAGTGCCCACATCCCAAAAATGAATTTAAATGGAAAAAAAAGATAATTGTTTCAAAGAATTGTAGTAATTTCTGAATGAGTAGCAATCAATTCAGGAAAGTTTAAACACTAAATTTTAATTGTTTCCTCCTTTGCTATGTTGTTCTTTAGGCTTTGGAACTTGAACCACACAAGACTGCACCCTTACACTGCAGCCTAATTTTTTTTGAAAATAAAAAAAATTCCTATTAAATTAACCGGAAATGTGGTGGAGATAGGCTCACTTGAGGCATTCAACGATTATTTGGATGGAAAGAGTTTTTAAAGTTACCAATGTCTGACCAGACCGTAGGGCTGCTCTCTCATTAGAGAGGGATGTCAGGTGGGGGTTTAAAGTGGTTGAAGGGGAGAGGTTGGGAAGGGGAGGGCAAGGGGAGAGGTTGGGAAGAAGAACCCTTCATTTTAACCTAGCCAGCACAGAAATTGAACCCATGTTGTTGGCATCACTCAGTATTGCAAACCATCTGTCCAACCAATTGAACTAAACCAACCCCAGAAAAATGTGTAAAGGTATGAGGGGAAAGCAGGAGATTGCTATTGGAAATGATGCTCACTTAAAGAGCTGGGTCAGCCATGTTAAGCCTAACAGCCGTTTTCTGTGCCATACCAATTCTGTGATTCTGTGAATACAGTTGAATGTTTAAACAGACTAGTGGGAACTCAGAAAGCTAAATTAGCCATTACTATTCCAATCTGTTTATTGTAAATGCACCAGAAAAATACATTGAGTTGTGATATTTATTGGAGCTCTTAGTCCCTAACACAGCCCTAATTTCTGGGAGTAATTGAATCAGGATGCCAATGAGTAATCATGTTTTGCGGTAGGCCAGAAGCCCCAGGTTGTAGTCCTGCTTGCCCTGGAGGTGTGCTACAACATGTCTTGATAGATTTTTTGACAAAAAGTAAGCAATGCAGGACAGGACAGATTAGGAGACTGAGAGATACCCAGTATAGGCAAGAACTCGCTGACAAAAGAACTGATCATTTGGAGAAAACACAGGGCAGGGTCAGCGATCAACTCCACCCTGGGCCTGGTAGAAATAACTGTAGACACTGATCATCAATGTAGCCTTGCTTTCTTTTATTGTAGCCAAACTGTACAGAAATGTCAAATAGTCCAGCTGTTAGCCAGTAAATGGAGATGAATCTGAACCAGTTCAAAATGACCATAAATTTAACAATAAAGGTAGTGCATGATGCAGCCAGAATGGGACAGGTTGGTACTGTAGATATAGCTATGTGCTATCTTGTGATTAAATTGCACGGGTTATTGAGACATTGTAATAACATTAAGCTGACAAAATATTCATGTTCCTTGCTAACCAGCCACACTTAACACTAAACGTCTCAACGGCCTTGCCGCCCAATGACATTTACAGAATACTAAATACTTGACCTCTTTGGTTCCGTTATTTAATCCATTGATATTATAATACATTTCGATTACCCCTCCCCCCAGAATTCTTCTTCTTTCTATAAAAATAACATTTTCACTTTTTTTAAAAAATGGCAGTTTTTTTTTTAAAACTAATCAACGCAACTTCTCAGTGCAAATAGAAAACGCGAACAGAACTATTATAAAACAATCATTCGCCGTATACCGGAAGCGAAAGATTTAGCTTCAAGTAATCGTAAAGATTTTAAATCCGACAAATTCACCTGTTTACTGCCAATCGCTTCCATTGCATAGCTCCCAACGGCACTTATTTAGTAAAGAAACGAACGGAGTTGGATAATTCATGATAAGTGCACTGTTTTAAGTACCCTTTTTTTTGCCAAGGCGTTCAGAACAAGTGCTTAATGTGCGTTCGGTACTTTGTAAGTGCTATGCAGCTCCAGCGTCTTAACGCAATATATGACTATTAATGCACAGTGCATCCCATTCATTGTGGAGTGATCTTAGACCGTGCTATCGCTGAAGGGCCTCTTTTTAATACAATCGCCCATTTGGCCCACTGTGAATTAACTCGTTATCTGAAAACAGTTTATAAAAGAGAACGCAAGAAGGGGATGAAAGATAGGATTAAAACACATTGTAGGAAGACAGAAGACAGAAATTCAGGAAGGGCAGGGGGAAGGGGGCAAGACGTGTTGCATTCCACAGATGATGGATAATTGTATTAAAATGAGTCGATTCGTTATTTGGAAGTTGGTTGAAACGTGTGAAATCGTCGCCAAGTCTCCATTCAGACCGCCCCTATCCATGTCCGAGGCACAGCCAGGTTGAGTGAACAGAAAACAGAGACCCCAGTGTTCTGAGCTGCCTGCATTGTGAAGACACGTTGAGCAGAAGTTACTTTCCGTGGGGCGGGCAAGAGGGATAGTTTGTTCAGTGGCGAGTAACGATCAGTACCTCAAAAGTTTCTCAGCGGTTAGAACAACATGCTTTTCTCTTTTGTTTCCCCACTTTTGCGTGTCCACGGTTCAAACAGAAGTGCGTGTGTACACTCGACAGAGGGAGAGAAAGCAAAACAAAAACACAAGGCTGGCTCCTTCAGGTCCGACCATTCCCACACCAGCTCACTATAGCATAAAACTAAAGTCTTGGCGGCATAAATAATTAAGCGTTTCAACTTCTGGTTGAAGTTGCAAGGGAACAATCCTTCCCACCCCCCACAAAAAAAACTTTTTTTTAAAAAAAAAGGTGACTCTGGCACCATTTAAATACATTGCGGATGTGCTTTTTTTTTTCAGTTTTACAGTGCTTCAAAGGGATTTGAGTGCTTCCACCGGGTTTTGTCTTTAAACCACTTAGAGAGAGAGAGAAACGACATCACTGCGTGTTAAACATTCACACTGTGTCCATCCTTTGCTCCTGAAACGGTTCCAAATGAGGACGCTGACTGTCGTTGAGCCTTCTCCAAATGGACCAAACTTGACCCTTGAAAAGTCAATGACTGGAGGAAGGAAAGGGGAGAAGGGAGGCACGGTGGGGTGGGGCAGAAAAACGAGTGTGGAGGATAACCACTCGGGAAAAATAAAAAGTGTCCATTGACCGTAAATAAAAAAGAACATTAAAACAAAACAAAATGGGAGCAAACTGCTGAAGCGCCCTCACGCACAGCCACACTCCTCCACGATCATGTTGGCCACGTCCCTCTTCACGATGTTGTATTCGTCGTCGAAGTAGAGCATGGACATTGTGCTGAGTTTGGTGGGGATGCAGCAGGAGTTCATGGAGCCGGGGCTCATGCCCCTCATGCGGTACTGGTTGACCACGGCGGTGTGAAAAGACGACGCAGAGCCTGGCGCGCCGGCCATGTAGGCCGGGCAACTCCCCTCGCAGTAGTTGCCATAGTAACCGGCGGGCGCGATGATCCAGTCGCTCCAGCCGATCAGCCGGAAGTCGATGTAGAACTGCTGGCGGCAGCACAGGCTCGTGCGGCCGTCGCACTCCAGGCCCCGTTTCCGGATCCGGTGCTTGGCGTCGAGAGCGCGCGCCCGCACCACCAGGAACGGCCGGTGCGCCTCGTCCGCCCGCTCCACCAGCACTGGCGACGCGGCCGCCGTCCCGCAGCCCGAGCACTCGACCTCCAGGTCTTGGCGCCTCAGGCCCCGCTCCCACTGCGCCCTCACCGCCTCGGTCACCGGGAACGTGTGCCAGCTGCTCCGCTTCAGCTCCAGCCGCTTCTCCACCGACGACCAGCGGGTTGACGCCCCGGCGCCCGAGCCCCGCAGGGACACCTTCACCGTCACTTGGCGCCGGCCTCCCTTCTCGGCCTTGGTGGAGGAGGAGGACGGGGGCGGCAGCAGCTTCATGTAGAGCCACAGGTTGGCCTGCTGCACCAACAGGTTTTGGTTGCCTTCGTTGGAAAGCAAAAAGTACAGGCCTGCTTTGGAGGAAGCCGGTTCGTCTGCGTGCACAAGGACAGAGAGAAACAATCAGTGTTAGGCCTCCCTTCTTTGAGTCGGAAATATATTGACTATTCTCTATGACTCAGTTTACTCTCACACTAACGGGGTGGGGGGCGCAGCACACTAACTCGGGTTTTATTTGGGAGGCACGCTAACTCGGGGGGGCGTACAGTAACTC